TACCCCACCCTCAAGGCTACCACTGGCAAGGCGATGGGAGTGAGGGAGGAAGGTATGGTTAGGATGGTATTAGACTGCAGTTCTGAGAAGTGACTGCTGCTCCCTGGCCATGACTGAGCAGGGTTCCTCAGAGGACAGGGGAAACTGGCCTCAGTGTGGGCAGCGTGAGGGCAGTTTGACGGGAGCACCCCCACACCCCTACACCCTCACACCCTCACACCCTCACACCCTCATACCCTCACACCCTCACACCCTCACACCTGCATTCTTGTCCCTTCTCTCTCCCGAGTCGGGCTGTGGCCCTTGGCCCTGGCTGCACGTTAGAGTCACCTGGAGAGATTAAAATCACAAGTGCTCAGAGATCAGATTCACTGATCTCCAGAGGAGCTTTTTTGTTAAGCTCCCAAGTGGTTTCTCGGAACAGCCGGGGCTGAGGAGGTCACTGGCGTCAATGTTTCTCCCTCTTGGGTGCAGGCGAAAGTTACCCTGGACCTCAGGAGGGCCCGAGGCCTTCTGCCTCTTAGATTACAAAATCCTAATCCTAGGTGTTTACCTACCAGCTCCCAGGCCCCTCCCTTGCCCTCCCCTCCCCCTCAGCTCATTATTCTCTCCTTCTTTTACAGCTGGGAAACAGCTTGAGGAATTAGGGCGCTTTCCCAGGGTGTAAGGTCACACCTGGCCCAGAAACCAGGGTTCTTGCCTCATCGGAGCCCTTCCCATCGGCCTTGGGGATGACTGCCAAGGCCATGGTTTCTTTGTTCTAAAGGTTCTAAAGAAATGGCTTCTCCTCGCCCGCCCCTCATACTGCCCCATGCATCTTCTCGGACTCACCCTGTCCATCAGAGGAAGGGATTTAGAACTTGGAATCAGAGACCTGGATTTGAATCCAGTTCTGCCAGGGGTGTTCTTGGATTCTTCATGGAGAAGATGTGGGAATTAATTGAACAGAGAACATTCTTTGGAACTTTAAGATGCTTTGCAAATGTTCCTTCTTGGAGCAATGGTCTCGTCAGCATCTGTCTTGACCCAGGGTTTTGCTCTGAAGGTGGGAGATCAGACTAGATCAGACTTTGGAAAAGGTGAGGCTGGCTGCCTTCTTTTCTCCCCAGGAGCTGTTGGGCCTTCCAGGGACCCTCCAGCAACCTCCTTCCCCTTAGGCCTCAGACAACGGGTGGGTAATTCTTCCTGCAGTGGGTCAGGAAGGATAAAGACTGGAGTAATCTCTGCACGATCACTCCAGCCCCTCCATTCTGCCCTCTTGGGGGCTGGGAGCCTTGTTCCTTCTGCAGGTCTCCCAGGTTGTGCTGTCCTCGCCCCTTGGCCTGTGTGCGGGGAGCCCTCCCATGTGTATATCCTCCCCAGCTGCTCCTGGTGGCTTGGCCCTTTGGGTCCTCCTGGGCACTGGGGATGCCCCGGGGACCCCAGCCAACAGGGAGATAGTTAAGGGGGAGGCAGCTTGTGTGACACCCAGAGTTGGTGGTTTTGCTTGGAGCTCTTTCTGCCTCCCATGGTCAAGGGAGGGAAGGGGAGGCCTTGGTTGGAGAGGTGGCTCACCAAGTCCCAGCCACGCAGCGATGGTGCCACGGTGCCTCTCAGTTACCTGCTCCTTCCTGCCTCCTTCCTGGACCTCCTGTCCCAGGGACCTGTCCAAGAGATATTTGTTCCTGGGCAGGCTTCCTCTGAGGGCGGGGGTGGGCATGTCCTGCCGGGCGGGACTCCAACCGAGCAGGTCCTTCCCTCAGGCCAGTCTTGGGAGAGGGGGAACCCCAGCTCCCTCAGGGCTGTGGGACCCACATGGCTGGAAAGGTGAGAGGTGCAGCTGCACAGATGGGGAGGAATGATGTCCCAGAGGTGGGCTTCCATCAGGCGGCCTCCCCTGGCTCCACTCCTGCAAGTGTCCTCCGCTCTGACCTGACCTGTCCCTGCAGGAGCTGTCCGGGCGGAGGCAGTTCCTGAGGGAGCACGCGGCCCCCTTCTCCGCCTTCCTCACCGACAGCTTTGGCCGCCACCACAGCTACCTGCGGATCTCCCTCACCGAGAAGTGCAACCTCCGATGTGAGTCTCCTTCCCGGGCCCTCTCTGCGCTCCCGTCCCTCTGCCGAAATCTCCCCATGCCAGGGCTCCTTGTCGGTGTCCCCAGTTCCTCTCTCTGACTTCCCCACCGCCCGCTGCCTTGCTCGCCAGGTGGGGTTCAGGACAGTATTGGGGTCCAGGCTGAGTTTTATGATCCTGGAAGCTGGATTTTACCTGGGATTAGATTCGAGTAGAGAATTGCTGTTGTGTTTGGGATTGAGATTGGATCTGCATCTCTCACTCCTCAGGGTTCTTTCTTCCTCCCCCCTGTTGCCCTGCAGTGCCCAGCGTTCAGGACGTGCCAGGGTGCCCCACTAGACACCAAAAACGTGAGGCCCACAGCAGGGCCCATGGCCAACACTTGAGCTGTGGAGACACTCCAGTGTCTAGAGAAGTTCATTAACTTGCCCAAGGTCATCTGGGTCAAGATGATGCAGAGTCCTTGTTTCATAATCCCACGTGGACTGCCCTGGGGGTGTATCCGCTGCTTGACTTCTCGTTTGTTTGCCCTCCCTCTCTCCCTTCCTCCCTCCTTCCTCTCCTCTCCTCCCTCCCTCCCTTCCTCTGTAGTTCACAGTAAGAAATGTGTTCACTTCATGGCCCAGGAAATAGGTGTGTGCATATGTAAATGTTGAACCAAACATTTCTATTCAGTCTTAAAAGACCAATTCTGGAGCCTTCATGACCTTTCACGGATATGGTCCCAATCCTTGATAGCACTGAACCACCCAAACTGATGGTGGGGATGGCGCCCTCACCCGCCAGGGGTCACCTCCTTTACCCCATTCTGCTACCTGGCCCTGATATAGTACCTGAGTTTTCCAACCCATCAGACAGCGCTGACAGTAATCTGGAGTAGATAGGCTGGTGGTAGCCACAGAGAACAGCGGCTTTGCCAGGCCAGAGGGTACTTCCCAGCCTTTTCACCCCATGACGCACACACGGAAGGGTAGCTATTTGCCCAAACCAGATAAATGAGAGAGGGTGAACAATGCCAGAAGGAATGGATCCCGGCCCTGGCCCTGGCCCTCCGGGCAGGCCATGCCCAGCACTGAGGAGTCAGCATTTTGGCGTCCCCCTACCTCAACCAGGCTCGCTCTCTACCTGGCTTATCTTTAACCTGCACCCTCAGCCCCCCCTCCCCCCACCCCCCCCGTGGGGAGGGAGTGTTACCATTTCACAGATGAGAAGGGTGAGGCCCAGAGAGAATCTGGCCTAGGGTCTGTACCACCTCAGATTGACGAGACTTCTCAGTGTCTGGGTGGGGTCAGGAGGAAGTCCTGGCCTGGTGAGGGTGGGCACATCATGGGCCTGGCTGCTGTCATCATTCCCCACGCTCCTTCCCTGCAGGCCAGTACTGCATGCCTGAGGAGGGGGTCCCACTGACGCCCAAGGCTGACCTGCTGACCACAGAGGAGATCCTGACCCTTGCTCGGCTCTTCGTGAAAGAAGGCGTGGACAAGATCCGGCTGACGGGTGGAGAGCCGCTCATCCGGCCCGACGTGGTGGATATCGTGGGTGAGTCTGGCGGAAGCTGTCCCCACTTCTCCCAGCTCCTGCCTCGTCCAGCTGGACTCCGATATTAGTACTAATATTGGCTGCATTCATTCATTTAGAGCAGTGATGGCGAACCTATGACATGCGTGTCAGAGGTGACATGCGAACTCATTTTTTTGGTTGATTTTTCTTTGTTAAATGGCATTTAAATATATCAAATAAATATCAAAAATATACATCTTTGTTTTACTATGGTTGCAAAGATCAAAAAATTTCTATATGTGACACGGCACCAGAGTTAAGTTAGGGTTTTTCAAAATGCTGACACGCTGAGCTCAAAAGGTTCACCATCACTGATTTAGAGCTTTATGCTCACCAGGTCCTTCCACCCTCTGAGATGGGTACCATTGTTATTCCGTTTCATTCAGAAATGAGGCTCAGAGAAGTTCATTAACTTGCCCAAGGTCACAAAGCTAGTAAGTGCCAGAGGCTTGCTGTCACATTGAGACTAAAGTCCTCGCCGGGGCCTGGGCCCACATGACCTGCCTCCCCGCCTCCCTGCCTCCCCTCCTCTCCTCCAGGCACGGTGCCAGGTCTTAGCACTTGCTGCTCCCTCTCCCAGAGAGGAGCCCTCTCTGGGAGCGGAGGGCTCACTGCCTGCTTCAGTCAGGTCCCTGCTCAGATGTCGTCACCTTGCGGAGCCCTCCTTGACCACTCTAAGTACATCTCCATACAGACCCTGAAACATAATTAAAAATGAAAAAAATAAAGTACATTTCCACATAGACACGCCAGCTACTCTCTGTCCCTGGAGTTGTCACGCTACAGCCCACAGGCTTAATCTGGCCACCACCGTTTTGTGTGGCCTGCAAGCAAAGAATTTTTTTTTTATGTTTCTGTGGATTGGAAAAGAAAATCAAAAGAATAACATTTTGTGACATGTGAGAATTAAATGAATCCTAAATTCACTGTCCATTAATGAAGTTTTGTTGGAACATAGCCACGCCTCTCAGTTACATATTTCCCAGGCTGCTTTTGCAGAGTTGAGTAGTTGCAAGGGAGACCATGTGGCCGGCAAAGCCATAGATATTTACTGTCTGGTCTTTTGCAGAAAAAGTGTGGCAGCGCCTACTTCACCCTGTCCTACCTTATTTTTCCCCACGGGATTTGTCTCATTTTGACTTTATGTTATTTGGTTGTATGTGGTTTTTTGCTTTGCATTGTCTGTCCCCTCCGCCAACTAGCATGAGAGCTCTGAGTGGGCCCTGGGGCTCTGTGGGGGGCCATGTGGCTCTCAGGGGGCTTTGTGGCTCAGTGGGGGACTGTGGGGCTTTGCTGGGACCGTGGGGCTCTGTGGGGGGCCGTGGGGCTCTCAGGGGGCTGTGTGGCTCTGTGGGGCTCTGAGGGGGGCTGCTGGGGCTGTGGGGCTCTGTGGGGGGCTCAGGGAGCCTTGGGCTCTGTGGGGGCCGTGGGGCTCTGTGGGGAGCCGTGTGGCTCTCAGGGGGCTGTGGGGCTCTGGGGGGCCGTGGGGCCCAGGGAGGGCTGTGGAGCTCTGGTGGGGGTCATGGCGCTCTGGGGGGCCATGGGGCTTTCAGGGACCCATGGGGCTCTGGGGGGCCGTAGGGCTCTGTGGGGGCCGTGGGGCTCTGTGGGAGCTGTGGCAGGGTTTGTTCCAGCTGTGCTCCCAGCACCTGGGACCCTGCCAACACAGGTGGTGCTCACTAAGATTTGTCCGATGAAAGGAGAGTGGTTGAAAGTGCAATCTCTGAGGCAGGACATGCCCATGTGTGAGTCCCAGCTGTGCCTCTGACTGACAGCATACCGTTGGGCAACTTTCACAATCGGGACGGAGACGGTACCTGCCTTACGGGGAGGAATGAGGAGGGAGTGCTCTGGAAGGGTGGCCCTGCACCGCTTCTACGCCCCAGGGTCGGGCAGAGAGACCTTTGCTCACGTGGTTGTAGATGATGAAATCAGGAAAATAAGGTTGTGTGTTCTTGATAGTTGAGCCCTCCACCCCCTCACCGCCAGCCCCACCCCAGCTGTTCCAGGTAGGACCTCCCAACCCTCGGCTCTCTGCCTCGTTTGCTGGCTCAGCGAGTGTTCTCTGGAGTGTGTTGTCCTGTCTGGGCCTGTGCTGGGCACAGTGAGCCCCTGACACTGCCGTAGGCAGAAGCAGCCCCTGGAGCCTGCCATCTGACAGGGCTCAGGACCCCCACAGCCCTCTCCTTTCCTTCCCCAGGGCCAGCTTCCTCCACCCACCACTGGTCACTTGACCTGGGATCCTGCCATTATTTCTGGGCTGGACACCCTGTCCCAGGGAAGCTGACCAGTCTTTCTGGTTGCTCCTCGGAGCTTCAGAGAAAGCTGGGTTCCTGGAAAAGGCTGAACCTGCTGAACTTGGCTGGCTGTCAGGCACAGCCCCCTGGTTCAGGCCACTTCGTGTTCCTTCTGGCTTGGGTTCAACCTTAAGTCCCTGTGTTTCCTGTACATTGTTGTGATGCCGTTGTAATAACCTGGTTATTATTTAACAGGGAAGGAGGAAAGGGCAGACCCAATAGTATAGGCATGCCATTTATACAGCTTTGCCAAAAAGTTGCATCTAATATTCTCCAAGTCTCTTCCCAGATGATTGATGGGGGAAGGGACGAGATAAAAGGACATGTAGATGCATGCCCAGTAAGGTCTGAGTGACATGGGAGGATGCCTACCTGTCAAACCTGGAAGCTAAATGAGTCAGGGGCTGGAGTAGGCGTGGCCACTACCAGTGCAGGAAACCTGAATATTTAAATTTCCAAACAAAGGAAGTTCTAGCTGTCTTTCTCTTTCACCTGTGACTCCTGTTGCAGGGGGCTGTTCTCCCCTGCGCCCGCACAGCCATGTGGGACTCTCACAATGGACTAATGGATTTTAATTAGCTTGGATGCTGAACTACACCTGGCTGCACCATGAAGCAGACACTCTGGGCACTGGTCTTGCTTTTGACACTGCTGGAACCCCAGCTGCAATTTTTCCAGGACTGGCTAAGGGGCAGGGAACTTTGGAACCCGAGCAATGTGACTTCATGCAAATAAAGCCTTTTTCCACATCCCATTATCCCGTGGGGGCTTCTGAGAGCTCTTATTTCAGCAGTACCCCGAGCACCTCCACCTCGCTCCCACGAGTGACAGGGAAGTTTGATTCCCTGGTAACAGTTATACAGCCACTAGAGGCTCAGTGCATGAATTTGTGCACCAGTGGGGTCCCTCGGCCTGGCCTGTGGGATCGGGCCGAAACCAGCTCTTTGACATCCCCCAAGGGGTCCCGGATTGCGAGAGGGTGCAGACCAGGCTGAGGGACCCCACCAGTGCACGATTGGGGCCGGGGAGGGACACAGGAGGTTGGCCAGCCAGGGAGGGACCACAGGAGGGCTCCAGGGTGTGTCCATCCTGATCTGCCGGACGTCAGCAGCAAACTAACCTATTGGTCGGAGCGTCTGCTCCCTGGTGGTCAGTGCACATCATAGTGAGCAGTTGAGTGGCCTTAGCATATCATTAGCATATTATGCTTTGATTGGTTGATGGATGACCAGATGACCAGACACTTAGCACATTAGGCTTTTATTATATAGGATAACCACTATCCATGGCCATAACGCTTTTCATCTAGTAGGTCTGAACCTCTATATCTATTAAACAGTAACCCAATTCTTGCTCCCCACACACACCTTGGCCCTGGCACTTTCTGTCTTTATGATTTTTAGCTACTTTAAGAACCTCGTATAAGTGAATCATACAGTATTTGTCTTTTGTGACTGGCTTTTTTCACTTAGTATAATGTTTGCAAAATTCATCCATGTTATAGCATATTGCAGAATTTTCTTTCTTTTAAGGCTGAATAATATTCCATTGTATACATATATCATATTTTGATAATCCATTCATTGGTCAAGTTGGGTTGCGTCCATGTTTTAGCTGTTGTGAATAATGCTACTATGAACGGGTATAGAAATGTTGGTGGCGGGGGTAACAGCACCAGGTGTTAGACTGGTGGGGTCAGACGGGACCTGGGTCAGCAACATCAATACTTGAGTTCTGGCTGGGAAAGAATTCAGAGCCAAGACTCAAACTATGAGAGAACATTTACTTAGAAAAATCACAGAGGTGGAAGTAGTGAGTGATAGAAGAAATGGGTTTAGGAAACATGTTACAGAGGCAAAAAGAGGGCTCTTGGAGCTTAAAAGTGAGGAAGGTAAAGGGGACATGCCAGGGGGAATGGAAGGGAGAGGAGGAAGGGAAAGGCAGGGGTGTGCTCCAGGGAAGGAGAGCACTCTAAGTCCTGAGTTTTAACGGTTTTAAGGGTGTAGATTTTAGGGGAGGTCCCAGGGGAACATCTCAGTAGAATACTCAGCAGATTTCCAGTTGTGCCCTTTCAGGGATGTGGTCTCCACTGATTGGTGCCAAGGTAGGGGGCCATTATTCAATGCAGCTAGTCCTGAGGTCAGCCTTGGTGTTGCTTGACTGGTTTTGCTGCTTTTCTGAGCCTGGAGCTGAAATACAACTGAGGCCAGGATGTTATCTCTAGAGAATAAAGGTCAGGGGATCTAAATAGATTGACCAGCGATATGCTAGGGGAGGAAGGGTCACGCTGGACTTGTCTCCCTGGTGACCTTCTGTACCTGTCCCATAGTCCTTGTTCTTACTCTGCTCATCTCTGTATAGCTGCCTACCACAGAAGTATCTCTCTGAGATCCTGCTTTCTAAGAGACAGTGGAAGTGGAATTTGCTGGGTCATATGTAGTCCTATTTTTAAACATTTTAAAGAACCCTCCATACTGTTTTCCACATTGGCTGTGCCATTTTAAATTCCCACCAACAGTGACAAAGTTCCAATATCTGCACATTCTTGCCAGCATTTTTTATTATTTTTTTGATAGTAGCCATCATAATGGGTATGAGGTGGTATCTCATTGTAGTTTTGATTTCCGTTTCCCTGATGGTTAGTTGAGCATCTTTTCATGTGCTTATTGGCCATTCATATATCTGCTTTGGAAAAAAATCATTTCAATTTTTTTGCCCTTTTTCGAGTTGGGCGTTCAGTTGTTGTTATTGAGTTTTAGGGTTCTCTATTATCCTGGATCTTAACCCCTAATCAGATATATAATTTGAAAATATTTTCTCTCATTCTGTGGATTGCTTTTTATTCTGTAGTCAGTATCTTTCTGTGCCCAAATTTTTAAGTTTTCATGAAGTCCATTTTTCTTTGGTTGTCTGTGCCTTTGGAGTCATATCCAAGAAATCGTTGCCAAATCCAATGTTGTGAAGCTTTTGTCCTGTAATTTCTTCCAATAATTTTGTTGTGTTAGGACTTACATTTAGGTCCTTGATCCACTTTGAATTAATTTTTGTATATGGTGTTAGGTAAGGATCCAACTCCATTCTTTTGCATGTGGATATCCAGTTTTCTCAGCATCGTTGGTTGAAAAAAACCCAAAACTGTTTTTTCTCCTATTGTATGGTCTTGGCAGCCTCCATAAATAGCATTTGACTATAAATGAGAGGGTGTATTCTAGGCTCTCTATTCTATTCTATTGGTCTGTATGTCTGTCTTTATGCCAGTACCACACTGTTTTGATTACTGTAGCTTTGTAATGTGTTTTGAAATCAGGAAGTGTATATCCTCCAGTTTTGTTCTCTTTCAAGATTGTTTTGGCTATACAGGGCCTCTTGAGATTCCATATGAATTTTAGAATTTTTTTTTTTTTTTTAGTTCTACAAAAAGGTCCTTGGGAATTTGATAGGGATTGCATTAATTCTGTTGATTGCTTTGGGTAATATTGACACTTAACAATAAATCTTACAACCCATGAACATGGGATGTGTTTCCATTTATTTATGTTTTCTTTAATTTTCTTCATCAATGTTTTGTAGTTTTCATTGTTAAAGTCTTTCACTTTGGTTAATCCTAGGCATTTTATTATTTTTATGCTATTATAAATGGATTGTTTTTGTAATTTTCTTTTCAGAATGTTCATTGTGTATCTGTTGAGATTTTAATTGCATAAAATATGTACATCAAATTGGGGAGAATTAATATCATTTTTATTCATAGACTCACCATCCCAGGTTGCTGAACCCAAGAAACTACATCACCCAGGGTCCCTTGTCTGTTGGGATCCTGATGGGTTGAGCCCGCCAGTGAGGTCAGGTTATTTTTACTGCTCCCTGCTCTATTTCTACACTGGGTTCTGACAGTAGCTGTATTCCCTCTGAGACTAGAACTCCCACAGGGCAGCCTCTCTCCATGGTGACTTAATTGGACTCCTAGCTTAACTTTCTCTTTATATCTGTCCTTTGGCCTTACATATAATAATGGGTCCCCAATGTTGCTAGTCTGAGTGCTGTACTATTCATTGTTGAGGCCCCTAATTCCTCCCATATCTTTGTAAGTAGTTCTTTCAATACAGTCTCTTCATTTTAACTATCTGGGATGAATTCTGTTTTATGCTAGGATCCTAACAGACACAGTGTCATATTTTTTAAGTTACATTTTCTCATTTCATTGTTGATATATCCTGTAACTCTACTGTCAATGTTATAACATGTCTCTTTCGATTCTTTGGAGTTTTCTGTGCTAGCAACCATATCATCTGCAACTAAAGACAATTTACTTTTTCTATAGATATGCCTTTAATTTCCCTTTCTTGTCCTATTGCAATATCTAGGTTCTTAAGTACACTACTGAATGGTAGTGGAAATAGGAGACTGCTTTTAAGGTTTCCTCACGGAATCTGGCCACTTTTACTTATTTTTTGTTATTATAATTCAGCTACTTTATTTCTGTTTTTAAAATTTATCTTTATTGTGAAAGTATTACAGATGCCCCCCTTCTTTTTCCCCATTGATTCCTTCCAGCCTGCACCCGTCCCCTACCCCAGGTCTTCACCATAATAATTAACAAATGACAAGTGCTGGCGAGGATGTGGAGAAAAGGGATTCCTAGTACACTGCTGATGGGAATGTGGATTGGTGTAGCCACTATGGAAACCTGTATGGCTTTTCCTCAAAAAATTAAATGTGGAACTGCCATTTGACCCATTGATCCTACTTCTAGGAATATATCCTACCAACCCTGAAACAGTAATCAGAAATAATATATGCACCCCTATGTTCATAGCAGCACAATTTCTAAGATCTGGAAACAGCCCAAGTGCCCATCAGTAGATGAGTGGATAAAAAAGCTGTGGTACATTTACACCACAGAATACTACGGAGTAGTAGAAAATAAGGATCTCTTACCCTTTGAGACAGAATGGAGGGACCTGGAGAGTATTATGCTAAGTGAAATAAGCCAGTCAGAGAAAGACAAGTATCACATGATCTCACTCATATGTGGACTCTAATGAACAAAATAAACTGATGAACAAAATAGATCCAGAGACATAGAAGCATGGAACAGATTGAGGAATCTCAGAGGGAAGGGGGTGGGTGGGAAGAGATTAACCAAAGAATGTATATGCATATATGCATAGCCGTTGGATGCAGGGAGATTTTAAACTGCTGCTGCAATTTCTTGAGTAGTTACTACATTATTCAAATTCTCTACTTCTTTTGGAGTCAGTTTTGGTAGATACTTTTTGTGTGCAATAAATCAGTACCTATTATTTATTTTTTAAAAGCAAATCAGTGAAGAAAAGATCAGAAACATTTGATTCACTTATGTATTTGTGAATGGAAAAAATTTATAATGCAAATTCTGTCATTAAAAAACTTAGGTACAAATTATAACATTATAGATAACCTCTTTTTTGTTTGTTTTGTTTCACATGGAAACCTTAAAGACTCAATTCATTTCAAGAGATCTAAGTATGAGTACTCCAAGAAAATATTACACAAATTGGAGGCATTTTGGATTTTTTAAAGTATATTTCAATACTTAAATTTGTGTGCATGCTTTAAACAACTAGTTATATTTCAAAAATGGGAGAACCTAAACATAGTGTATGATCAGCACCAGCATTTAAGTTTCTGACATTAATATTAGTCCGTCACAGCACTAGTAACCGTGCTGTACCGAAACATGATACAGTTGAATCATTAAATATCATACCCCGCACCCCCAGAGTTAATACTGTGAAATTAAGTATTTAAGCATAATCAGTTATGGGCAGCCTCTTTTATAAATTGCTGTTTAGCAATACACAAACTGTCTCAAAGATGAATGCTTACAGGTAGGCATTCAGTTATACCAATAAAATAGCACGTACTGAAAATATGGGCACATTTTAAGACAATTTTGTTAACCATTAATAGTCCCACAGTAAGAACCCACTTTAAAAGCAAAAGAAAATTTAATCATCCAGTGGATGATTGATTCAACATAGTTCCCAGGGAACAGACCAGTCACTCGATTGCAGACTCCTTCATACCAGCCGTCATCATTCTTCTTTATTGCATAAATGTTGCACCCTCCATAAATGATCACTCATCGTCCTTGTCTTTCATATCACATATTGCCACAACTTTCTCAGTATAATGATTGGATGGTTATACTGAACTACTGTGGCCTCCTCATCTTCATGACCCACTGGGGGTGGAGGCGGCGGTGGTGGAATGTCATCTGGTGGAGGGGGTGGTGGTGGAGTTGGACTATCAGCAACAGGTCCAGTGGCGGGTGGCGAAGATGTAGGCATGGCAGAGGGAATGCCAGTACTGCTGCTGCCACTGCTTTCTCAGCCTCCACGTCCCCCACCACTTCCACTGTGTGTCCTCAGTCTCTGGCTTAAGGAAGCTGTCCTGCCTGAGCCGCGCTGACCTCCACGCCTAGCAGGACTTGCCATGTAGTCATTCATTAGGAACTGCTGGGGGTTTAACAGGTTCCAGGGTTTCATAAGGAGTGTTCCTTCCCGCATTCCCTGGCCTGAATGGGAGGACTTGTCTCAGCCGTGCACCAGTTCTTGCAGGCTGACTATGTCCATGCTTGACACCGTGGCCCTCATCGTCCAGAACTGTATAGTCCATAGGTTTCTGAATATACCTGACAAGGTGTTTCATATTTGCAGGTGCTATTATTTGTGAGTTCTGTTTTGTTTTGTTTTGTTAATCCTCACTGGAGGATATTTTTTTCCATTGAGTTTTAGAGAGGGTGGAAGGGAAGGGGGTTATGGGGCGGGGGGAGAGAAGAGAAGAGGAGAGGGGAGGGGTGGGGAGGGGAGAGAAACATCAATGACATAGAGACACATCGATTGGTTGCCTCCCGCATGCACCTGACGGGGGCTGGAGATTGAAACTGCAACCCAGGTGCATGCCCTTGACCGGGATGGAACCCATGACCCTCCAGTGTACAGGCCGACGCTCTAACCACTGGGAACACTGGCCTGGACAATTTTGTGAGTTCTTATTTGCTGTCAAAATACCAGTCTCTCTTCAAGCCCCTTTTTCTTTATGAATGTCCACCGTCCGTGAGATATGATTGATGGAAGACTTGTTTTCCGAGGCTGAGAGCCTTGGATGTCCAGCAGTTAGAGCACATCGTTGGCCAAAGCATTTATTCGATAAGCAACACTAGCTAGGGGTTGGGTTGTGTAGGCTTTGCTCTCTTTAAAGCTTTTCTCCTGTCTGTAGCCTGTATGTAGCTGTTTTCACAGTAGTCTGCCACCCGGATCAGGTTCTGGTACCTCTCTATCAGCGCCCTCTTGCCAGATGGCATCTCCTCCTCTGGTAACATCTGCAGCTCTGCCATTCCTCCCACTCCGCATTGCTTCCTCTGATGTTAAAGAGACAGGCAGCAAGGTCTCGGAGGTTCCCAGCACCTCACAGCCCAGATACAAACTGCCTACCACCCTCCTGTCTGCCAGATTAAAAAAAAAAATTTTTTTAATTGATTTCAGAGGGAAAGGGAGAGGGGGAGAGAGATAGACACATCAATGATGAGAGAGAATCATCCATTGGTTGCCTCCTGCATGCCCCCTATTGAGGATGGAGCCTACAACCTGGGCACGTGCCCTGGCCAGGAATCGAACCATGACCTCTTGGTTCATAGACTGACACTCAACCACTGAGCCACATCAGTTGGGTTAAATTTTTATTTTAGACATTTGTTATTTCTTATTTCAAATTTATTGGTATGAAATTATTGGTAATATTTTCTTGTCTTTTTAGTCTCAGTTTTACTAGCAATTTTGTAACTTTTTTTCTTAATGTAGTTTTTTTGTACTTTAGCTCTTCTTTTTTCTTAAATCTTTTTTTTTTTTTCCCCCTGAGTAAATTTTATTTTATTTTATTTTATTTTTATTTTTTAATAATAATTTTTATTTCTTAAAGTATTACAAATAGTATTACATATGTCTCCTTTTTTCCCCCCCTTGACATTCCCCCGACCCCTACCCCCCACCCTCCCCCGCCACGTGTCTTGTGTCCATTGGTTAATCTTATATGCATGCATATAAGTCCTTCAGTTGGTCTCTTAATCCCCCCCCCACACCCTCCCCAGGCTTCCCACTGTAGTTTAACATTCTGTTCAAAGTTGCGCTGCTTCTGTATCTACCCCAGTTCATCAGTCCATACTGGTCCCCTTTATTTGGCCCAACCTCACTGGAGTAGTC